GCACGAGAAGCCTAGGAAGAGGAGGAACACTAGGGATGAGTACTTCGCCATCGCCATTGCCTATTCTAATTCGAATTTGTTTTGGTAATTATTTTGATGCCACTGTGTGGGGGTTTATATAGGAATGTAAGTGAGAAATCTTAAGAAACGTGAGCAGTTGTGTTTGGTTTATTTGAGTTTATCATCAAGAAGAAGAGTTTAGTCTGGTTTTGAATTGTTGGATTCATTTATGTCATTCTCATGTTGGACTCTTGATGCTAACTCTTGCGTAATATTATATATATTTTTTATTATTATATTATATATACCCACAGAAATCGAGACCGATGGGGGTCGGGTCAGTTTTTAATTACTATTCCGATTTCAATCATGTGTAGAAAATAAACAAGGAAAAATTGTGTTTTATTTACTTCAGAAGTTGCCCTGTTTTTGTTTAATTTTATTATTGAATGAAAATGAAACCTTAGAATAAGTGAAATGAATGGCATAACAAATTTCATTCCGATCATCAGAAGCCACAATAATAACAAAATCAGCTGCATGTTTCCTTGAAACTTATTCGTAAACATTCAAATAACATTAGCATCAGAAGCCACAACAATAAATATCTAGCTCATCACCCACGGTGCTTCTTCACCCGCTGCCATTTGTTTCCGATCCTCTGACCGATCGACGACTGCTGCCCGGTCGACACCCTCGTGGACCGATCTGACTCGAGATAGTCAGGAAATTGCAGCAAGTAGTCGTAAACCACGAGCGGCACCCTCACAACGTGTGCCCCATCTGTCCACACGACAGCACCCGACATGACCGGCAGAGGCATGATGGCGGGCCCCACAACGCTGACCGTGAAGGTCTGAGTCTCCCCGAGCTCCGAGAATGTGAGAACCGATGGCTCGACAGCGACCTCGATGGACGCCGGCATGTGCCAGCTGGCGGTGTAGGTCGAGCTTCCGTTGTAAACGTTGGTCACTTTTCTGGTGAAGCTGCCCGTGATGGCCTGGCCATACAGGACGGATAATGAGAACGAAGGGTAGTTGAGATCCTGGGCCTGTACGGGCCGTGCGTGTTTGCAAGAGCTGTGGTCTCCTGTGATCTGCCTGAGGAGGGTTGGGCTGGTGGTGTTGTAACCTTGTCCGCACAAGAAGTCGATATAGTCGGATTCCGATAAGTCAAACACTAGTCCCGGGTCGCGTGCGGCAGTCGGGTTGATATGGCCTGACCCGTATGCGAATTCTTGATCCTCCGCATGTTTGTTTGGGTCCACGACGTAAGCTGAACAGTTGTTGATGTGGAAAATCATGAAAAAGGAAAAGAGGGGGAAAGAAAAAACAGATGCATTAGGAAGCAAGTTTACCATTATGTTATTTCTAATATTATATAATAGAAAGAATTTATATGTATGAATCTTGTGTATGTTCTCTCTCTCTCTCTGTGTGTTTTACCTGTTGTCATGAGGGCCGATTTGATGGCGGCAGGTGACCAGTCGGGATGAACTGCTTTGACGTAGGCAGCTGCACCACTGGCGTGAGGGCATGACATGGATGTACCCGAGATGATATTGAAGAGCATACTGCTTTGGACGACAACGTCGTGGCTAATAGGGGACCACCCAGCTAGAATGTCCGAGCCCGGAGCTGTCACGTCAGGCTGGTTTTTTTTTTCCGTACATCAAACAGGACACAGGAAAAAAACCGTTAAAACGAAAAGATTGGGAAAAATAAGGTAAATAAAATGTATCTTTATGTTGAGAATATTATTCTTGGCTATCACCTTGAGAATGTCGGGAGATACTAGGTTGGGCCCTCTGGAAGAAAATGAAGCAACAATTGGAGCCATCGGGTCTTTCCACTCGTCACTGTAGAAAATAGTCGCCTCTGGCTCGCTGGAAAAGGAAAATGAGAGGAAAGATCGTTCTTGATCAGTAAGAGTCTAAAAGATTTGTCTTAATTTAATGATGGATAATGAAGGGAAGTAGGCCAAAATGCATTTACTTAGTGATTCTGATGTATTCAAGAACTCTGTTTCCTTCTAGTGTGTTGATCACTGTCGTTGGCAATGGCCAGGTGAAGGCGATGTCCCGGTAGGCCGAGGACACGTCGGTCATGATAACTCCAGCAGCATTCGCGTTCATAACACCCGAGACATCCATGCTTTCGCAGTATACAATTTTTCCCGACACTTCATCCGCATTCATGGTGCCGGCTATGCACTTCCTAGAATTCCGTGGATAGTATCCGCTCGTGTAGTTTGCCACATCTCCTCCCCATATTAATGGGTATGTAGTCCCGTTGAGATCGAATACATTGATAGCAATCCCCTGAATCCACTCACACAGTTTATTGTGCATAACATATAATATTTATCGATAATCAGCCCAGTTGTTTAGTTGTGGTTGGACTTACGTAGAAGTATTGACCGTTTCCTAGCTCCACGCGTGCTACAAACTTCCTGTCGATCGAGCTGGCACCAACGGTGAGCATCCACGGGGCAGAGTTGGTGACCTTTTGAAGTTTCGGGCCAGCATTCCCAGCCGAGGCCGACGTCAGGATTCCATTCCTCATCGCGTGGAAAGACCCAATGGCTATTGGGTCGTCTTCGTAATCAGACTGTTCATCCGACCCGAGCGAAACCGAGATGATGTCGACCCCATCGGCAATGGCATCATCAAAGGCCTTGAGAATGTCGGCCGAATCGCACCCGATGACGGCCCAGCAGACTTTGTAGACCGCTATCCTCGAGCCCGTTACTCCCCTGGCCGTGCCCCGGCCCAGCCCGAAGAAGTTTGCACCGTCCACCTGGACTCCCGAGGCAGTGGATGCCGTGTGGGTCCCGTGCCCGTGGGCGTCTCGTGGGGATGGCATTTCCCCCATGGGGTAGATATCGTAGCTGTTGTAGTAACGGGCCCCGATGATCTTGCTGAAAAGAGAAATAAGAAATTTGTAATAATTTGAACTGTCTTGAAATTTTGCTTTAGTGAGCTTTGAAATTTAGAGTGCTTACTTATTGCAGGTGAAGTTCTGGGTTGTGCAGGTACCGTTCCATTTGGCCGGCGGAGGGCCGAAACCTTTGTCATTGAAACTCGGGTGCTCGGGCCAGACTCCTAAGAATATATAGAAGTACGGTACAGCAGAAAAAAGGATGAGAATCGAGATGCATGCAAAACAACATTGTATGTGGCAATAATGCCGAACAAAAAAGTCGTTAATCGAGCTACCAGAATCGAGAAAGCCAATGATGACATCCGAGTTGGTGGAAGGTCCAAGTTCGTTCACGGTGAGATTCATGAAGTCCCACGACCTGGTCGTGTGAAGCTTGTATTTACGGCTTGGTTTTACCGAGATCACTCCTTCCATTTCTACATCAAAAAATAGCTGTTTAAATTTACATCACTGCAGCTTCCATTTCTACATCTTAATCATATTTTGATTTGAGATTTACTCACCCGAAATCCCTGCAGCTTCCGCCTCTGTCAGCCTGGCTGCGAAGCCGTTAAAACTTCTCCAGTAACTGTACACTAGCGACTCTTTGGCTGATGAGGCACTGAAGCATTCAATACAGAGAACTTTTACTTTACATTCTATCAAATGTTCAGAGAGACTACAATAATCTGGATCGAACGTGCTCTAATTTTCGGTTTATCTACTGATAGTTTTGATCGTTAACGTGACCACCGAGCTGAATCCTGAATATGCATGCCATGCATGTCACTACATTTTAATTCATCTACTATAGAGACTCAGGAGAATTGATAACAATGCTTATAAGTGGTGTTACTAATTAAGTATAAATAATCCTTTTGAACGTTGTACTGCATAAAAGCCGGCAGAACAACCTTCCGAGTGATTTGTGCAGCATCGTGTAATGGTTGTTTGCCGCGAATGCGTGTTCTTGTGGCCGACCACCCATGTACACGATGTGAAGCTGCAAAAGTCGATAAGCAACTCTGTTAAGAGAGAGAGAGAGAGAGAGAGAGAGAGAGAGAGAGAGAGAGAGAGAAATGTGCATGCCTTCCTTTCTTGGCAGTGGCAGTTCAGCACAAGGACTGAAAGCAACAAAAAATAGAGAAGAGAAAATGTAGTGCCAGCCTTAGCCATTAGGAATGAAATTTGTCTTGAAAATTGAATGTTGTGTTATATGTGATATGTCCTAAAGACATGGTGTTTATATAGGTGGTAGCATGGCTGATTTTGGAATCATTTATGGTTTGATGGACAGGTGAACTGTAGTAGCTGCTTTTGTGTTATTAGAATGTTTTTTTTTTTCTTTTTTAATTATGTTTTAAGTTAAACAATTAATAGTAATCCTGTAATTTTAATATTTGATAAATTTGAATGTAATTTTGGCTGAGAATTCAA